GCGAGCGAGTCGGTGAGAGGGTTGGTGAGCGAGCGAGTTGGTGAGCGAGTTGGTGAGCGAGTCGGTGAGCGAGCGAGTCGGTGAGCGAATCGGTGAGCGAGCGAGTCGGTGAGCGAACGAGTTGGTGAGCGAGCGAGTCGGTGAGTGAGCGAGTCGGTGAGTGAGCGAGTCGGTGAGTGAGGGAGTCGGTGAGTGAGCGAGTCGGTGAGAGAGTGAGCGAGTCGGTGAGAGAGCGAGTCGGTGAGTGAGCGAGTCGGTGATTGAGCGAGTTGGTGAGCGAGTCGGTGAGCGAGCGAGTCGGTGAGCAAGTTGGTGAGCGAGTTGGTGAGCGAGTTGGTGAGCGAGTTGGTGAGCGAGTCGGTGAGCGAGCGAGTCGGTGAGAGTGCGAGCGAGTCGGTGAGCGACCGAGTTGGTGAGCGAGTTGGTGAGCGAGTCGGTGAGCGACCGAGTTGGTGAGCGAGTTGGTGAGCGAGTCGGTGAGCGAGCGAGTTGGTGAGCGAGTTGGTGAGCGAGTCGGTGAGCGAGTTGGTGAGCGAGCGAGTTGGTGAGCGAGTTGGTGAGCGAGTTGGTGAGCGAGCGAGTTGGTGAGCGAATCGGTGAGCGAGCGAGTTGGTGAGCGAACGAGTTGGTGAGCGAACGAGTTGGTGAGCGAGTTGGTGAGCGAGTTGGTGAACGAGTCGGTGAGCGAGCGAGTAGGTGAGCGAGCGAGTTGGTGAGCGAGTTGGTGAGCGAGTCGGTGAGCGAGCGAGTTGGTGAGCGAGTTGGTGAGCGAGCGAGTTGGTGAGCGAGTCGGTGAGCGAGCGAGTCGGTGAGCGAGTTGGTGAGCGAGTCGGTGAGAGAGCGAGTCGGTGAGCGAGCTGGTGAGCGAGTTGGTGAGCGAGCTGGTGAGCGAGTTGGTGAGCGAACGAGTCGGTGAGAGAGCGAGTCGGTGAGCGAGCTGGTGAGCGAGTTGGTGAGCGAGCTGGTGAGCGAGTTGGTGAGCGAGCGAGTCGGTGAGGGAGCGAGTCGGTGAGCGAGCGAGTTGGTGAGCGAGTCGGTGAGAGAGCGAGTCGGTGAGCGAGTTGGTGAGCGAGTTGGTGAGCGAGTTGGTGAGCGAGCGAGTTGGTGAGCGAGTTGATGAGAGAGCGAGTCGGTGAGAGAGCGAGTCGGTGAGCGAGCGAGTCGGTGATAGAGCGAGTTGGTGAGAGGGCGAGTCGGTGAGAGGGCGAGTTGGTGAGAGGGTCGGTGAGAGAGTCGGTGAGAGTGCGAGTCGGTGAGAGAGCGAGTCGGTGAGCGAGTCGGTGAGTGAGCGAGTGGGTGAGAGAGCGAGTCGGTGAGAGGGCGAGTCGGTGAGAGGGCGAGTCAGTGAGAGAGCGAGTCGGTGAGAGAGCGAGTCGGTGAGAGAGTGAGTCAGTGAGAGAGTGAGTCAGTGAGAGAGTGAGTCAGTGAGAGAGTGAGTCAGTGAGAGGGTGAGCGAGTCGGTGAGAGAGTGAGTCGGTGATAGAGCGAGTTGGTGAGCGAGCAAGTCGGTGAGAGAGCGAGTCGGTGATAGAGCGAGTCGGTGAGCGAGCGAGTCGGTGAGAGAGTGAGTCGGTGAGAGAGCGAGTCGGTGAGAGAGCGAGTCGGTGATAGAGTGAGTTGGTGAGCGAGCGAGTCGGTGAGAGAGTCGGTGAGAGAGTGAGTCGGTGATAGAGCGAGTTGGTCAGCGAGCGAGTCGGTGATAGAGCGAGTTGGTGAGAGGGCGAGTCGGCGATAGAGCGAGTCGGTGATAGAGCGAGTCGGTGATAGAGTGAGTTGGTGAGCGAGCGAGTCGGTGATAGAGTCGGTGAGAGAGTGAGTCGGTGATAGAGCGAGTTGGTGAGCGAGCGAGTCGGTGATAGAGCAAGTCGGTGATAGAGTGAGTTGGTGAGCGAGCGAGTCGGTGAGAGAGCGAGTCGGTGATAGAGCGAGTCGGTGAGAGAGCGAGTCGGTGATAGAGCGAGTCGGTGATAGAGTGAGTTGGTGAGCGAGTCGGTGAGAAAGCGAGCGAGTCGGTGAGCGAGTCGGTGAGAGAGCGAGTCGGTGAGCGAGTTGGTGAGTGAGCGAGTCGGTGAGTGAGCGAGTCGGTGATCGAGCGAGTTGGTGAGTGAGCGAGTCGGTGATCGAGCGAGTCGGTGAGCGAGTCGGTGAGCGAGCGAGTCGGTGAGCGAGTCGGTGAGCGAGCGAGTCGGTGAGCGAGTTGGTGAGCGAGCGAGTCGGTGAGAGAGTTGGTGAGCGAGCGAGTTGGTGAGCGAGTTGGTGAGCGAGTCGGTGAGCGAGCGAGTCGGTGAGCGAATCGGTGAGCGAGCGAGTCGGTGAGCGAACGAGTTGGTGAGCGAGCGAGTCGGTGAGTGAGCGAGTCGGTGAGTGAGCGAGTCGGTGAGTGAGCGAGTCGGTGAGTGAGCGAGTCGGTGAGAGAGTGAGCGAGTCGGTGAGAGAGCGAGTCGGTGAGTGAGCGAGTCGGTGATTGAGCGAGTTGGTGAGCGAGTCGGTGAGCGAGCGAGTCGGTGAGCAAGTTGGTGAGCGAGTTGGTGAGCGAGTTGGTGAGCGAGTTGGTGAGCGAGTCGGTGAGCGAGCGAGTCGGTGAGAGAGCGAGCGAGTCGGTGAGCGACCGAGTTGGTGAGCGAGTTGGTGAGCGAGTCGGTGAGCGACCGAGTTGGTGAGCGAGTTGGTGAGCGAGTCGGTGAGCGAGCGAGTTGGTGAGCGAGTTGGTGAGCGAGTCGGTGAGCGAGTTGGTGAGCGAGCGAGTTGGTGAGCGAGTTGGTGAGCGAGTTGGTGAGCGAGCGAGTTGGTGAGCGAATCGGTGAGCGAACGAGTTGGTGAGCGAACGAGTTGGTGAGCGAGTTGGTGAGCGAGTTGGTGAGCGAGTTGGTGAACGAGTCGGTGAGCGAGCGAGTAGGTGAGCGAGCGAGTTGGTGAGCGAGTTGGTGAGCGAGTCGGTGAGCGAGCGAGTTGGTGAGCGAGTTGGTGAGCGAGCGAGTTGGTGAGCGAGTCGGTGAGCGAGCGAGTCGGTGAGCGAGTTGGTGAGCGAGTCGGTGAGAGAGCGAGTCGGTGAGCGAGCTGGTGAGCGAGTTGGTGAGCGAGCTGGTGAGCGAGTTGGTGAGCGAGCGAGTCGGTGAGAGAGCGAGTCGGTGAGCGAGCTGGTGAGCGAGTTGGTGAGCGAGCTGGTGAGCGAGTTGGTGAGCGAGCGAGTCGGTGAGGGAGCGAGTCGGTGAGCGAGCGAGTTGGTGAGCGAGTCGGTGAGAGAGCGAGTCGGTGAGCGAGTTGGTGAGCGAGTTGGTGAGCGAGTTGGTGAGCGAGCGAGTTGGTGAGCGAGTTGATGAGAGAGCGAGTCGGTGAGAGAGCGAGTCGGTGAGCGAGCGAGTCGGTGAGCAAGCGAACGCGTGCATGCGTGGGTGAGTGGAGTAAACGGAGTGGGTGGGTGAGTGAGCAAGTGAGTTGAGTTTAGTGAGCGAGTTGACGAGTTGATGAGTTGGTGAGGGATTGAGTGAGTGAGTGGGTGGGCGGGTTGGTGAGTGAGTGAGTGGGTGGGTATTGAGTGAGTGGGTGGGTATTGAGTGAGTGGGTGGGTATTGAGTGAGTGAGTGGGTATTGAGTGAGTGAGTGGGTATTGAGTGAGTGGGTGGGTATTGAGTGAGTGGGTGGGTGGGTATTGAGTGAGTGAGTGGGTATTGAGTGAGTGAGTGGGTATTGAGTGAGTGGGTATTGAGTGAGTGGGTGGGTATTGAGTGAGTGGGTGGGTATTGAGTGAGTGGGTGGGTATTGAGTGAGTGGGTGGGTATTGAGTGAGTGGGTGGGTATTGAGTGAGTGAGTGGGTATTGAGTGAGTGAGTGGGTATTGAGTGAGTGGGTGGGTATTGAGTGAGTGGGTGGGTATTGAGTGAGTGGGTGGGTATTGAGTGAGTGGGTGGGTATTGAGTGAGTGGGTGGGTATTGAGTGAGTGGGTGGGTATTGAGTGAGTGAGTGGGTATTGAGTGAGTGAGTGGGTATTGAGTGAGTGGGTGGGTATTGAGTGAGTGGGTGGGTATTGAGTGAGTGGGTGGGTATTGAGTGAGTGGGTGGGTATTGAGTGAGTGGGTGGGTATTGAGTGAGTGGGTGGGTATTGAGTGAGTGAGTGGGTATTGAGTGAGTGGGTGGGTATTGAGTGAGTGGGTGGGTATTGAGTGAGTGGGTGGGTATTGAGTGAGTGAGTGGGTATTGAGTGAGTGGGTGGGTATTGAGTGAGTGAGTGGGTATTGAGTGAGTGGGTGGGTATTGAGTGAGTGGGTGGGTATTGAGTGAGTGGGTGGGTATTGAGTGAGTGGGTGGGTATTGAGTGAGTGGGTGGGTATTGAGTGAGTGGGTGGGTATTGAGTGAGTCGGTGGGTATTGAGTGAGTGGGTGCGTGAGCGAGTGGGTGAGTGAGCGAGCGGATGGGTGGGCGAGTGCATGGCTGAAGGTGAGTGAGCAGATGGGTGATTGAGTGAATGGGTAGATCGGTGAGTGAGTGAGTGAGCGGGTGAGTGAGTGAGTGAGTGAGTGGGTGAGTGAGTGGGTTGGTGAGTGAGTGAGTGGGTTGGTGAGTGAGTGAGTGGGTTGGTGAGTGAGTGAGTGGGTTGGTGAGTGAGTGAGTGGGTTGGTGAGTGAGTGAGTGGGTTGGTGAGTGAGTGAGTGGGTTGGTGAGTGAGTGAGTGGGTGAGTGAGTGAGCGGGTGAGTGAGTGAGTGGGTTGGTGAGTGAGTGGGTTGGTGAGTGAGTGAGTGGGTTGGTGAGTGAGTGAGTGAGTGGGTTGGTGAGTGAGTGGGTTGGTGAGTGAGTGGGTTGGTGAGTGAGTGGGTTGGTGAGTGGGCGAGTGAGTGGGTTGGTGAGTGAGTGGGTTGGTGAGTGAGTGAGTGAGCGGGTGAGTGGGTTGGTGAGTGGGCGAGTGAGTGGGTTGGTGAGTGAGTGGGTTGGTGAGTGAGCGGGTGAGTGAGTGAGTGGGTTGGTGAGTGGGCGAGTGAGTGGGTTGGTGAGTGAGTGGGTTGGTGAGTGAGTGAGTGGGTTGGTGAGTGGGCGAGTTTGTCACCTGCAGGCACAGCTTGCTGTCACGTTGCTGATCCCCGCTCTGCTGCCTCGAGCTGCTCTGCAGCTGATTGAGCAGCAGCAGCACCTGGAGCAGCAGAAGCAGCAACCTGGTGACCACCTCCCCCTCTCTCACCCCTCCCTCTCTCACCCCCTCCCTCTCTCACCCCCTCCCTCTCTCACCCCCCTCACCCCTCCCCACTCACGCCCCCCTCACCCCTCCCTCTCTCACCCCCCTCACCCCTCCCTCTCTCACCCCTCCCTCTCTCACCCCCCTCACCCCCTCACCCCTCCCTCTCTCACCCCCCTCACCCCTCCCTCTCTCACCCCCCTCACCCCTCCCTCTCTCACCCCCCTCACCCCCTCACCCCTCCCTCTCTCACCCCCCTCACCCCCTCACCCCCTCACCCTCTCTCACCCCCTCCCTCTCTCACCCCCCTCACCCCTCCCTCCCTCTCCCCCTCCACTCCCTCTCCCCCCTCCCTCCCTCCCTCCCCCCCCACTCACCTTGTCCTGGTGCTCCGTCTCCAGCCGGCCCATCTCCTCCGTGAGCCTCTCCCTCTCCTCCCGGGCCCTGTCCCTCTCCTCCGTGGTGCTGCGCAAGGCCTCGTCACGAGCCTCCCTCGCCTCACGCAGCTCCTCGCTGGCGCGGGCGCTGCCCACCCTCGCCGCCACCAACTGACTCACACACACCACACACACACCACACACACACCACACACACACACACCACACACACACACACCACACACACACACCACACACCACACACACACCACACACACCACACACACACCACACACACACCACACACCACACACACCACACACACACCACACACACACACCACACACACACCACACACACACACACACACACCACACACACACACCACACACACACACCACCCACACACACCACACACACCACACACACACCACACACGCACACCACACACGCACCACACACACCACACACACACACACCACACACACACCACACACACACCACACACACACCACACACACACCACACACACACACACACCACACACACACCACACACACACACACCACACACACCACACACACACCACACACACACCACACACACACACACCACACACACACCACACACACACCACACACACACCACACACACACCACACACACACCACACACACACCACACACACACCACACGCACCACACACGCACCACACACGCACCACACACGCACCACACACACCACACACACACCACACACACACCACACACACACCACACACACACCACACACACACCACACACACACCACACACACACACCACACACGAACCACACACACACCACACACCCAAACACCACACACACCACACACACCACACAGACACACCACACACACCTACACACACACACACACACACCACACACACCACACACACACCACACACACACACACCACACACACACACCACACACACACACACACCACACACACCACACCACACACACCACACCACACACACACCCACACACCACACACACACCACACACACACACACCACACACACCACACACACCACACACACACACCACACACACACACCACACACACACACACCACACACACACCACACACACCACACACACACCACACACACACCACACACACACCACACACACCACACACACACCACACACACACCACACACGCACCACACACACACCACACACCACACACACACACCACACACACCACACACACACCACACACACACACCACACACACCACACACACACCACAAACCACACACACCACACACACACACCACACACACACACACACCACACACCACACACACCACACACGCAACACACACACACCACACACCACACACACACACACAACACACACACACACCACACACACCACACACACACCACACACACATACACCACACACACACCACACACACACACACACCACACACACACCACACACACACACACACCACACACACCATACACACACGCACCACACACGCACCACACACACACCATACACACACGCACCACACACACACCACACACACACCACACACACACACACCACACACACACCACACACACACCACACACACACCACACACACCACACACAACACACACACCACACACACACCACACACACCACACACACAACACACACAACACACACACACACCACGCACACACCACGCACACCACACACACACACCACACACACACCACACACCACACACACACGCACCACACACACACACACCACACACACCACACACACCACACACACACACCACGCACACCACACACACACCACACACACACCACACACACACCACACACACACCACACACACGCACCACACACACACACACGCACCACACACACACACACGCACCACGCACACACCACACACACACACCACACACCACACACACACACCACGCACACACCACACACACACACCACACACACCACACACATACACACCACACACATACACCACACACACACGCACCACACACACACGCACCACACGCACACGCGAAGGTCCCCCACGTAGCCTCGACACGCCGTTGGGGCAAGTGCTGTTAGCGGCGAGGGGCAGTGTCTGCAAAGGCCGGCACGGTGGCACACGAGGGGGTGGGTGGCCAGCACCACGCCCGGCCGCCTTTGTCTCCCCCAGTGGCGATGCTCACTACTACACACCGCACCGAGTACTCGTTTTTGCAGCGCAGTGTGCTAACCACTGTCCCACCGCTCCCCCACACAGACAAAGGTCCCCCGTGTAGCCTCTAGCAGGCTGTAGGGGCAAGTGCTGTTGGTAGCAGCAGCGCCTATGAAGGTAGACACAGACAAAGCTCCCCCGTGTAGCCTCTAGCAGGCTGTAGGGGCAAGTGCTGTTGGTAGCGAGTAGCAGTAGCACCGCCCACCCACCACCCACCCCCCCCACCCCACCCACCCACCCCACCCACCCCACCCCACCCACCTGATCGAGTAGCCAGCGCAGGGCGCACTTGGCCTCCAGGATGGTGGTGATGGCGTCCCAGCGATGGCGCCCACGCTCCTCCGAGCCCACGCCCAGCAGCTTCTGCTGCAGGTCGGCGATCTGAGCGCTGCTACACTCGGGAGCGAGACACGCACACACACACACGGTACACACACACGGTACACACACACACGGTACACACACACACGGTACACACACACCGTACACACACACGGTACACACACCGTACACACACACACACACGGTACACACACACACGGTACACACACACACGGTACACACACACACGGTACACACACACCGTACACACACACGGTACACACACCGTACACACACACACACACACGGTACACACACACACACACCGTACACACGGTACACACACCGTACACACACACACGGTACACACACACACGGTACACACACACATGGTACACACACCGTACACACACGGTACACACACACACACGGTACACACACACACACACACGGCACATACACACACGGCACACACACACACGGTACACACACACACGGTACACACACACACGGTACACACACACGGTACACACACACGGTACACACACACACACACACGGTACACACACACGGTACACACACACGGTACACACACACACACACACGGTACACACACCGTACACACACGGTACACACACACACACACACGGTACACACACCGTACACACACGGTACACACACACACCGTACACACACACCGTACACACACACGGTACACACACCGTACACACACACACACGGTACACACACACACACGGTACACACACATACACACACGGTACACACACATACACACACGGTACACACACACACGGTACACACACACACACGGTACACACACACACACACCGTACACACGGTACACACACGGTACACACACACACGGTACACACACACACGGTACACACACACACGGTACACACACACACGGTACACACACACACGGTACACACACACGGTACACACACACACACACACGGTACACACACCGTACACACACCGTACACACACACGGTACACACACACGGTACACACACCGTACACACACACACACGGTACACACACACACACGGTACACACACCGTACACACACACACGGTACACACACACACACGGTACACACACACACACACCGCACACACACACACACCGTACACACACACACGGTACACACACCGTACACACGGTACACACACCGTACACACGGTACACACACACACACGGTACACACACACCGTACACACCGCACACACGCACCGCACACACGCACCGCACACACACACGCACACACACCGCACACACACACGATACACACACACCGCACACACACACGATACACACACACCGTACACACACACCGCACACACACACGCACGCACGCACACACACGCACGCACACAGACACACACACACACCGCACACACACACCGCATACACCGTACACACACACCGCACACACACACCGCACACACACACACACCGCACACACACGTACACACACACACACACACCGTACACACACACACACCACACACACACCGCACGGTCAGACCGGTGGTGGTGGAGGAGAAATCCGATGAGCTGTAAAGCTCCACCACCACATCAGCACCACTATCCTAACCACCATCACTTCTACATCACCACCACCACCACTACCCTCACCACACCACTACACTCACCACCACCACATTATCACCACTACCCTCAGCTCCACATCATCACCACCACCACAACACTACCCTCACCCACCTTCACATCACCACCACATCACCACAACTACCCTCACCGCGTCACCACCACCACCACCACCTCCTACCGCCAAGCGCATCGCCACCACGACCACCCTCGCCACTTCCAAATCGCCACCGCTGCCCTCACCACCACCAGCACCACCACACCACTACCCTCACCCACCTTCACATCACCACCACATCACCACAACTACCCTCACCGCGTCACCACCACCACCACCTCCTACCGCCAAGCGCATCGCCACCACGACCACCCTCGCCACTTCCCAATCACCACCGCTGCCCTCACCACCACCACCACCAGCACCACCACCACAACGTCACCACGACAACCCTTCACGCACCTCCACGAACCTCACCGCCTCCACCACTTCGCCACCACTGCCATCACCGCACCGTCACCGTCACCGCTACCGCTCGCTCGCTCACCGTAGTCCAATCTCCGTCTCCAGGCTGACGATTTGCTGGTTCAGCTCCTCCGAGGGCCCCAGGGCCTCCTCCAGCTCGGACAGCAACAGGGTGCGGCGCTGACAACAAAGACAAAGGCGCCGCGCCGCGCAGCTCTTCACGGACTGCTGGAGCAAGTGCTGCAGCTAGCGAGCAGCAGCAGCAGCAGCAGCAGTGAAGGCTACCGAGTGGGAGGCTCGGCGCCGGTAGCAACACGCCCGACCGCCTTTGTCTCCCCCGGTGGCGATGTTTTTTTTACCACACGTCGCACCAGGTACTCACTCGAGGCCGAGTCGACCCAGCGGGGGGTGGGGGAGGGGGGGAGGGGGGAGGGGGGAGGGGAGGGGGGAGGGGAGGCCCTCGGACCGATTCAGATAGTCGTCACCGGCGGTGGCCACGAGCGGGAATCGAACTCGGCTTCGTAGCGAGACCCTACACGTACCCCTCCCCACGTGACACCCCCCACCACGTGACCCCCCCCCCAAGCACCACTCCCCACGTGACCCCCCCCAAGCACCACTCCCCACGTGACCCCCCCCAAGCACCACTCCCCACGTGACACCCCCCAAGCACCACTCCCCACGTGACCCCCCCCCCCCCACGTGACCCCCCCCCCCCAAGCACCACTCCCCACGTGACCCCCCCCAAGCACCACTCCCCACGTGACCCCCTCCCCCAAGCACCACCCCCCACGTGACCCCCCCCAAGCACCACCCACCACGTGACCCCCACGTGACCCCCCCCCAAGCACCACCCCCCACGTGACCCCCACGTGACCCCCCCCCCCCAAGTACCCGTATCTTGACGGGTGGCTGCTGCTGTGAGGGTGCCCGCGACTCTTCCTGCTGCTGCCGCAGGCTCGCCAGCTCGCTGGCGAGGACGGCGCGGTCCTCCAGCAGGTCGGAGAGGTGGCGACGGGCGTCCTCGCTGCTCACCAGCACCTCCAGCTCGTGGGACAGCCACGTCTGATCGCAGGCAGGCAGGCAGGGAGGCAGGGAGGCAGGGAGGGAGGGAGGCAGGGAGGGAGGGAGGCAGGGAGGGAGGGAGGCAGGGAGGCAGGGAGGCAGGGAGGGAGGCAGGGAGGGAGGCAGGCAGGGAGGGAGGGAGGCAGGGAGGGAGGCAGGGAGGGAGGCAGGCAGGGAGGCAGGGAGGGAGGGAGGGAGGCAGGGAGGGAGGCAGGGAGGGAGGCAGGGAGGGAGGCAGGGAGGGAGGCAGGGAGGCAGGGAGGGAGGGAGGCAGGGAGGGAGGCAGGCAGGGAAGGAGGCAGGCAGGGAGGGAGGCAGGGAGGGAGGCAGGGAGGGAGGCGCCGTCTCACTCCCCACCCGTCGTGTCGCGACGCAGGGGGCGAGGGCGGTGAGGGTGGCAAGAGTGGTGAGCGTGCGGTGAGGGTGAGCGTGAAGGTGATAACGGTGAGGATAGTGAGAGTGGTGAGCGTGCGGTGAGGGTGAGCATGAAGGTGATGACGGTGAGGATAGTGAGAGTGGTGAGCGTGCGGTGAGGATAGTGAGAGTGGTGAGCGTGCGGTGAGGATAGTGAGAGTGGTGAGCGTGCGGTGAGGATAGTGAGAGTGGTGAGCGTGCGGTGAGGATAGTGAGAGTGGTGAGCGTGCGGTGAGGATAGTGAGAGTGGTGAGCGTGCGGTGAGCGTGGTGACGGTGAGGGTAGTGACAGTGGTGAGCGTGCGGTGAGGGTGAGCGTGAAGGTGGTGACAGTGAGGGTGGTGACAGCGAGGGTGAGGGTAGTGACAGTGGTGACGGTGAAGGTAGAGACAGTGGTGAGCGTGCTGTGAGGGTGAGCGTGAACGTGGTGACGGTGAGGGTGGTGACAGTGAGGGTGGTGACAGTGAGGGTGGTGACAGTGGTGAGCGTGCGGTGAGGGTGGTGACGGTGAGGGTAGTGAGAGTGGTGAGCGTGCGGTGAGGATAGTGAGAGTGGTGAGCGTGCGGTGAGGGTGAGCGTGAAGGTGGTGACAGTGAGGGTGGTGACGGCGAGGGTGAGGGTAGTGACAGTGGTGACGGTGAGGGTGGTGACGGTGAGGGTAGAGACAGTGGTGAGCGTGCCGTGAGGGTAGCGAGAGTGGTGAGCGTGCGGTGAGGGTGAGCGTGCTGTGAGGGTGAGAGTGAGTGTGGTGACGGTGAGGGTGGTGACAGTGGTGAGCGTGCGGTGAGGGTGAGCGTGAGTGTGATGACGGTGAGGATAGTGACAGTGGTGAGCGTGCGGTGAGGGTGGTGACGGTGAGGGTAATGAGAGTGGTGAGCGTGCGGTGAGGGTGGTGACGGTGAGGGTAGTGAGAGTGGTGAGCGTGCGGTGAGTGTAGCGAGAGTGGTGAGCGTGCGGTGAGGGTGGGCGTGCGGTGAGGGTGAGTGTGGTGACGGTGAGGGTGGTGACAGTGAGTGTGATGACGGTGAGGATAGTGAGAGTAGTGAGCGTGCTGTGAGGGTGAGCGTGAACGTGGTGACGGTGAGGGTGGTGATGGTGAGGGTGGTGACAGTGAGGGTAGTGAGAGTGGTGAGCGTGCGGTGAGGGTGAGCGTGAGGGTGGTGACGGTGAGGGTGGTGATGGTGAGGGTGGTGACAGTGAGGGTAGTGAGAGTGGTGAGCGTGCGGTGAGGGTGAGCGTGAGGGTGGTGACGGTGAGGGTGGTGATGGTGAGGGTGGTGACAGTGAGGGTAGTGAGAGTGGTGAGCGTGCGGTGAGGGTGAGCGTGAACGTGGTGACGGTGAGGGTGGTGATGGTGAGGGTGGTGACAGTGAGGGTAGTGACAGTGGTGAGCGTGCTGTGAGGGTGAGCGTGAGGGTGGTGACGGTGAGGGTGGTGATGGTGAGGGTGGTGACGGCGAGGGTGAGGGTAGCGAGAGTGGTGAGCGTGCGGTGAGGGTGAGCGTGAACGTGGTGACGGTGAGGGTGGTGACGGTGAGGGTGGCGAGAATGGTGAGCGTGCGGTGAGGGTAGTGAGGGCGGTGAGCGTGCGGTGAGGGTGGTGACAGTGAGTGTGATGACGGTGAGGATAGTGAGAGTGGTGAGTGTGCGGTGAGGGTGGTGACGGTGAGGGTAGTGACAGTGGTGAGCGTGCGGTGAGGGTGAGCGTGAACGTGGTGACGGTGAGGGTGGTGACGGTGAGGATAGTGAGAGTGGTGAGCGTGCGGTGAGGGTGAGCGTGAAGGTGGTGACAGTGAGGGTGGTGACGGCGAGGGTGAGGGTAGTGAGAGTGGTGACGGCAAGGGTGGTGACGGTGAGGGTGGTGATGGTGAGGGTGGTGACAGTGAGGGTGAGGGTAGTGACAGTGGTGAGCGTGCAGTGAGGGTGAGCGTGAGGGTGGTGACGGTGAGGGTGGCGACGGTGGTGAGCGTGCGGTGAGGGTGAGCGTGAAGGTGAGGGTGGTGACGATGTTGGTGAGGGTGGTGGTGAGGGTGGTGGTGAGGGTGGTGGTGAGGGTGGTGGCGAGGGTGGTGACGATGTTGGTGAGGGTGGTGGTGAGGGTGGTGGTGAGGGTGGTGGCGAGGGTGGTGGCGAGGGTGGTGGCGGTGAGGGTGGTGGCGAGGGTGGTGACGGTGAGGGTGGTGGCGAGGGTGGTGGCGAGGGTGGTGGCGAGGGTGACGACGAGGGTGGTGGTGACGATGTTGGTGAGGGTGGTGGCGAGGGTGGTGGCGAGGGTGGTGGTGACGATGTTGGTGAGGGTGGTGGCGAGGGTGGTGGCGAGGGTGGTGACGAGGGTGGTGGTGAGGGTGACGGCGAGGGTGGTGACGCTGAGGGTGGTGGCGAGGGTGGTGACACACCTTGACGCGCGTGGCGAGGGTCTCCGTGCCTCTGCTCTGCGTCTCCTTCCTCTTCTCCGCCACCTCCTTCTGCCGCGTGAGAGCGTCGCGCAGACGCCGGTTCGCAGCGCCAGCCTGGGGAGACACGGGGGGAGACACGGGGGGAGACACGGGGGGGAGACACGGGGGGTGACACGGGGGGTGGGAGACACGGGGGGTGGGAGACGTGGGGGAGACACGGGGGGGGAGACACGGGGGGAGACACGGGGGGAGACACGGGGGGAGACACGGGGGGGGGAGGGAGACGTGGGGGAGACACGGGGGGAGACACGGGGGGTGGGGAGACACGGGGGGAGACACGGGGGGGAGACACGGGGGGGAGATACGGGGGGGAGACACGGGGGGTGGGAGACGTGGGGGAGACACGGGGGGGAGACATGGGGGGTGGGAGACGTGGGGGAGACACAGGGGGGAGACACGGGGGGGGGGGGGTGGGAGACACGGGGGGGAGACACGGGGGGTGGGAGACGTGGGGGAGACACGGGGGGGAGACATGGGGGGTGGGAGACGTGGGGGGTGGGAGACGTGGGGGAGACACGTGGGGGAGACACGGGGGAGACACGGGGGAGACACGTGGGGTGGGAGACGTGGGGGAGACACAGGGGGAGACACGGGGGGAGACACGGGGGGGAGACACGGGGGGAGACACGGGGGGAGACACGGGGGGAGACACGGGGGGGAGACACGTGGGGTGGGAGACGTGGGGGAGACACGGGGGGGAGACACGGGGGGAGACACGTGGGGAGACACGGGGGGAGACACGGGGGGAGACACGGGGGGTGGGAGACACGAGGGGGAGACACGGGGGGAGACACGGGGGGAGACACGGGGGGAGACACGGGGGGGAGACACGGGGGGAGACACGGGGGAGAGACGCAATGGAGACAAGGGGACAGGAGGACAGACGGAGAGACGGAGAGGCACAGACACGAGGTGCAGGGAGTGAGGAGGTGGGGGGACGACGAGGTGGACTTGGTGATGAGGTGGACTTGGTTGGTGATGAGGTGGACTTGGTGATGAGGTGGACTTGGTGATGAGGTGGACTTGGTTGGTGATGAGGTGGACTTGGTTGGCGATGAGGTGGACTTGGTTGGTGATGAGGTGGACTTGGTTGATGATGAGGTGGACTTGGTTGGTGATGAGGTGGACTTGGTTGGTGATGAGGTGGACTTGGTTGGTGATGAGGTGGACTTGGTTGGTGATGAGGTGGACTTGGTGATGAGGTGGACTTGGTTGGTGATGAGGTGGACTTGGTGATGAGGTGGACTTGGTGATGAGGTGGACTTGGTGATGAGGTGGACTTGGTTGGTGATGAGGTGGACTTGGTTGGTGATGAGGTGGACTTGGTTGGTGATGAGGTGGACTTGGTTGGTGATGAGGTGGACTTGGTGATGAGGTGGACTTGGTTGGTGATGAGGTGGACTTGGTTGGTGATGAGGTGGACTTGGTTGGTGATGAGGTGGACTTGGTGATGAGGTGGACTTGGTTGGTGATGAGGTGGACTTGGTTGGTGATGAGGTGGACTTGGTGATGAGGTGGACTTGGTGATGAGGTGGACTTGGTGATGAGGTGGACTTGGTTGGTGATGAGGTGGACTTGGTTGGTGATGAGGTGGACTTGGTTGGTGATGAGGTGGACTTGGTGATGAGGTGGACTTGGTGATGAGGTGGACTTGGTGATGAGGTGGACTTGGTTGGTGATGAGGTGGACTTGGTTGGTGATGAGGTGGACTTGGTGATGAGGTGGACTTGGTTGGTGATGAGGTGGACTTGGTTGGTGATGAGGTGGACTTGGTTGGCGATGAGGTGGACTTGGTTGGCGATGAGGTGGACTTGGTTGGCGATGAGGTGGACTTGGTTGGCGATGAGGTGGACTTGGTTGGCGATGAGGTGGACTTGGTGATGAGGTGGACTTGGTGATGAGGTGGACTTGGTTGGTGATGAGGTGGACTTGGTTGGTGATGAGGTGGACTTGGTTGGTGATGAGGTGGACTTGGTTGGTGATGAGGTGGACTTGGTTGGTGATGAGGTGGACTTGGTTGGTGATGAGGTGGACTTGGTGGGTGATGAGGTGGACTTGGTGGGTGATGAGGTGGACTTGGTTGGTGATGAGGTGGACTTGGTTGGTGATGAGGTGGACTTGGTGATGAGGTGGACTTGGTGATGAGGTGGACTTGGTTGGTGATGAGGTGGACTTGGTTGGCGATGAGGTGGACTTGGTTGGTGATGAGGTGGACTTGGTTGGCGATGAGGTGGACTTGGTGATGAGGTGGACTTGGTGATGAGGTGGACTTGGTGATGAGGTGGACTTGGTTGGTGATGAGGTGGACTTGGTTGGTGATGAGGTGGACTTGGTTGGTGATGAGGTGGACTTGGTTGGTGATGAGGTAGACTTGGTTGGTGATGAGGTGGACTTGGTGATGAGGTGGACTTGGTGATGAGGTGGACTTGGTGATGAGGTGGACTTGGTGATGAGGTGGACTCACCTCCTCGGTCTTGCGGCGCAGCACGGCCGCTTGCTTCTGGAAGTCTCTCTCCAGCTTGACGAGCTCGTACTGACGCTTGCGATCCTGGAGACACGCGGGGAGACACGGGGAGACACGGGGAGACACGCGGGGAGACACGCCGGGAGACACGGGGAGACACAGGGAGACATACGGGGAGACACACGGGGAGACAGGGAGAGACACGGGGAGACACGGGGAGACAGGGAGAGACACACGGGGAGACACACGGGGAGACACGGTGAGACACGGGGAGACGCGGGGAGACGCGGTGAGACACGGTGAGACACACGGGGAGACACGGTGAGACACGGGGAGACAGGGAGAGACACACGGGGAGACACGGGGAGACACGCGGGGAGACAGGGAGAGACACGGGGAGACAGGGAGAGACACGGGGAGACACACGGGGAGACAGGGAGAGACACGGGGAGACACGGGGAGACACGGGGAGTCACGCGGGGAGACAGGGAGACACACGGGGAGACACGCGGGGAGACACACGGGGAGACAGGGAGAGACACGGGGAAACACACGGGGAGACACACGGTGAGACACGGGGAGACACGGGGAGACACGGGGAGACACACGGGGAGACACGCGGGGAGACACGCGGGGAGACACGCGGGGAGACACACGGGGAGACACGGGGAGACACGGGGAGACACACGGGGAGACGCGGGGAGACGCGGGGAGACGCGGGGAGACTCGGTGAGACTCGGTGAGACTCGGTGAGACTCGGGGAGACGCGGGGAGACACACGGGGAGACACGGGGAAGGGACAGGTGACCAACTGCAAGCACAGGGGTCTGGGGGTCCGGCCTTCCCAAACCACGGCCTTCACGCTCAATGATGGATGCATAAACACTCGCTCGCTCACACACACACAACACACCAACAACAACAACCGCCATTCGCCACTAAGTGGTGGTGACGTCACCACGGCGCTTGTGCCAGGCCATGTGCACGCTGAGGCCACGTGAAGTGTCGAATGCCCCCCCTAGCAGCAGGTCACGGGGCAGACCCAGGTGCCATGGGTCACTGAGATGACCGGCCGATGCACCACACACACACAGAAGACAAACGACAAAGATCCCCCATATAGCCCGAACAGACTGTAGGGGCAAGTGCTGTTAGCGAGCACCTATAAAGGCCGGAACGGTACACGAGGGGGTGGGTGGCCAGCACCACGCCCGACCGCCTTTGTCTCCCTAGTGGCGATGTTTACACACCGCACCAGGTACTCATTTGAGGCTGAGTCGACCTATGGGTGGCCTGGGACCGGTTCGGATAATCGTCACCGGTGTTGGCCGTGAGCGGGAATCGAACCCGGGTCGCCGGGTTCATAGCGCAGCGTAGCGCTAACCACTACACCACCGGCTCCCCACGAAGACACACGCTCGCTCACACACACTCGTTCACTCGCACAGACGGGCACTCGCTCACACACACTCAAAACCATGCAACGATCACATTACAGGCACTCGCCCACTCGCATGCAAGCAACACTCACCCACATAACTGGCTTACATACACAGACGCTCACACACTCACTTGCTCAAATGCACACAGGCAACGCTGACACACATATATTCGTTCACACACTCACACAGACACTTGCTCGCTCACTCGCATGCACGCAACGTTCATCCAGAGGTGATGTTTCCTACACAACGCTACACCACGTAGCAAGTGGAGCTATTCTTACATACATACACGCACATTGACTCTCTCTCGATCTCACTCACTCTCTCTCTCTATCACTCTCTCTCTGTCACTTACTCACTCTCGATTTGTCACTAACTCACTCTCTATTGGTCACTCACTCACTCACTCTGTCACTCACTCACTCAGTCACTCACTCTCTCTCTGTCACTCACTCTCTCTCTGTCATTCACTCACTCTCTCTCTGTCACTCAGTCACTCACTCTCTGTCACTCACTCACTCACTCTCTCTCTGTCACTCACTCACTCTGTCACTCACTCACTCTGTCACTCACTCACCCACTCTCTGTCACTCAGTCACTCACTCTCTGTCACTCACTCACTCTCTGTCATTCACTCTCTGTCACTCACTCTCTGTCATTCACTCACTCACTCTCACTCTCTGTCACTCACTCTCTATCACTCACTCACCCACTCTGTCACTCACTCTCTGTCACTCACTCACTCACTCTGTCATTCACTCACTCTGTCATTCACTCACTCAGTCACTCACTCACTCACTCTCTGTCATTCACTCTCTGTCACTCACTCACTCACTCTCACTCACTCTCTGTCACTCACTCTCTATCACTCACTCACCCACTCTCTGTCACTCAGTCACTCACTCTCTGTCACTCACTCTCTCTCTGTCACTCACTCTCTCTGTCACTCACTCTCTCTGTCACTCACTCTCTCTGTCACTCACTCACTCTGCCATTCACTCACTCTGCCATTCACTCACTCTGCCATTCACTCACTCTGCCATTCACTTACTCTGCCATTCACTCACTCTGCCATTCACTCACTCACTCTCTGTCACTCATTCACTCTCTGTCACTCACTCACTCTCTGTCATTCACTCACTCACTCTCACTCTCTCTCTGTCACTCACTCTCTCTCTGTCACTCACTCTCTCTCTGTCACTCACTCTCTCTCTGTCACTCACTCTCTCTCTGTCACTCACTCTCTCTCTCTGTCACTAACTCTCTCTCACTCACTCACTCACTCTCCGTCACTCACTCACTCACTCACACTCCCTCAAACTCACTCACACTCACTCACACACACTCACGCTCTCTCACGCACACCCTCTCTCTCCGACTCACACGCGTGCCCCCTCTCTCTCTCTCTCTCCCCCCCACCTTCTCCTTGAGCTGCAGCACCTCCTTGTCCTTCTGCGCCTTCCACAGGCGAAACTTCTCCGCGTCCTCCTTCATCTGCCTCATCAGCTGCACGCGCTGAGACTTCATCGCCTGGGAGACGGGGGTTGGGGGGGTTGAAGCGGGAGATAAAACCTTTGGGGTGACGCTCGGCCCCCGAGTCTGTCGCTCGCTCTCTCTCTCTCTCTCCCTCTCCACAGTCGTTGTATCAGAGGCACCAACTTACCTTCGCGTGTGCACGTCTAGCGGGGAGCGGTTAGCGCTAACAAACCCGGCGACCCCGAGTTGGGGAGACAAAGACGGCCGGGCGAGGTGTTGGCCACCCACCCCCTCGTGTGCCACAGTGCCGGTAGGTAGCCTTGATAGGTGCTCGCTAACAGCACTTTGCCCCAAAAGTCGGTTAAGGCTACACGGGGGATCTTTGTCTTTGTAACACCTGCATCTCTCTGTATCTGTATGTGTGTGTATCTCTCTGTATGCATATCTGTATCTTTGTATCTCTCTGTATGTGTGTGTATCTCTCTGTCTGTGTGTGTATTTCTCTGTCTGTGTGTGTATCTCTCTGTATGTATGTATCCCTCTGTATGTGTGTGTGTATATCTCTCCGTATCTATGTGTGTGTATCTCTGTGTGTGTGTATCTGTGTGTGTGTATCTCTGTATGTGTGTGTGTGTGTATCTCTGTAAGGGGAGCGATAGTGTAGCGGTTAGCGCTACGCTGCGCTATGAACCTGGCGACCCGGGTTCAATTCCCGCTCACGGCCAACACCAGTGACAATTATCTGAACCGGTCCCGGGCCTCCCCTAGGTCGACTCAGCCTGAGTAACTGGTGTGGTGCGTAAACATCGCCACTGGGGAGACAAAGACGGCCGGGCGAAGTGTTGGCCACCCACCCCCTCGTGTGCCACAGTGCTGGTAGCCTTGATAGGTGCTCGCTAACAGCACTTTGCCCCAAAAGTCTGTTAAGGCTACACGGGGGATCTTTGTCTTATCTCTCTGTATGCATATCTGTATCTTTGCATCTCTCTGTATGTGTGTGTATCTCTCTGTCTGTGTGTGTATCTCTCTGTCTGTGTGTGTATCTCTCTGTATGTATGTATCCCTCTGTATGTGTGTGTGTATATCTCTCCGTATCTATGTGTGTGTATCTCTGTGTGTGTGTATCTGTGTGTGTGTATCTCTGTATGTGTGTGTGTGTGTATCTCTGTAAGGGGAGCGATAGTGTAGCGGTTAGCGCTACGCTGCGCTATGAACCTGGCGACCCGGGTTCAATTCCCGCTCACGGCCAACACCAGTGACGATTATCTGAACCGGTCCCCGGCCTCCCCTAGGTCGACTCAGCCTCAAATGAGTACCTGGTGTGGTGTGCAAATATCGCCACTGGGGAGACAAAGGCGGTCGGGCGTGGTGCTGGCCACCCACCCCCTCGTGTACCGTTCCGGCCTTCATAGGTGCTGCTCGCTAACAGCACTTGCCCCAACAGTCTGTTAAGGCTATACGGGGGATCTTTATCTTTGTGTATCTCTGTGTGTGTATCTCTGTATGTGTATCTCCCTGTATGTGCGTGTGTGTGTATGTGTATCTCTGCATGTGTATCTCTCTGTATGTATGTGTATCTCTGAATGTGTATCTCTCTGTGTAGTGTGTGCGTGTATGTGTATCTCTGTATGTGCATCTCTCTGTATGTGTGTGTACTTCTCTGTATGTGTGTGTGTGCGTGCGTGTGGATCTCTGTGTGTGTATCTCTGAATGTGTATATCTCTGTATGTGTGTGTGCGCGTGTGTGTGTGTATCTCTGTGTGTGTATCTCTGAATGTGTATCTCTCTGTATGTGTGCGCGTGTGTGTATGTGTATCTCTGTATGTGTGTGTCTCTGTATGTGTGTATCTCTCTGTATGAATGTGTGTGTACCTCTCTGTGTGTGTGCGTGTGTGCCTCTCTGTATGTGTGTACCTCTCTGTGTGTGCGTGTGTGTGCGTGTGTGTGCGTGTGTGTATCTCTGTATGTGTGTGTCTCTCTGTATGAATGTGTGTGTACCTCTCTGTGAGTGTGCGTGTGTGTGCGTGTGTGTGTATGTGTACCTCTCTGTATGTGTGTGTGCGTGTGTGTGTACCTCTCTGTATGTGTGTGTGTGCGTGCGTGTGTGTGGATCTCTGTGTGTGTATCTCTGAATGTGTATATCTCTGTATGTGTGTGTGCGCGTGTGTGTGTGTGTATCTCTGTGTATCTCTGTATGTGTATCTCTCTGTATGTGTGTGCGCGTGTGTGTGTATCTCTGTACGTGTGTGTCTCTGTATGTGTGTATCTCTCTGTATGTGTGTGTACCTCTCTGTGTGTGTGCGTGTGTGTGTGTACCTCTGTGCGTGTGCGTGCGTGTGTGTGTATGTGTATCTCTGTATGTGTGTGTGTCTCTGTATGAATGTGTGTGTACCTCTCTGTGTGTGTGCGTGTGTGTGTGTACCTCTCTGTATGTGTGTGTGTGTGCGTGTGTGCGTGTGTGTACCTCTCTGTATGTGTGTGTACCTCTCTGTGTGTGTGCGTGTGTGTGCGTGTGTGTGCGTGTGCGTGTGTGTGTATGTGTACCTCTCTGTATGTGTGTGTGTGCGTGTGCGTGTACCTCTCTGTATGTGTGTGTACCTCTCTGTATGTGTGTGCGTGTGCGTGTACCTCTCTGTATGTGTGTGTACCTCTCTGTGTGTGTGCGTGTACCTCTCTGTATGTGTGTGTACCTCTCTGTGTGTGCGTGTGTACCTCTCTGTATGTGTGTGTACCTCTCTGTGTGCGTGTGTGTGTATGTGTACCGCTCTGTGTGCGTGTGTGTGCGTGTGTGCGTGCGTGTGTGTGTGTGTACCTCTCTGTATGTGTGTGTACCTCTCTGTGTGTGTGTGTGTGTGCGTGCGTGTGTATGTGTACCGCTCTGTGTGTGCGTGTGTGTGCGTGTGTGTGCGTGTGTGTGTATGTGTACCGCTCTGTGTGCGTGTGTGTGCGTGCACAGCACCTGTATCTCCGAGTGCAGCTTGCTGACACTGCGGACTGTGTTCTCCTTGAGGCGCAGCAGCCGCGTCTGCTCCGTGATCTTCTTCTTGAGGTCGTTCATCTGCGCCTCGAGCTCCTGCAGACGCTTGCGCCGCTGCTCGCTCAGCCTGGACGGTCCACCGCAGCCACAGTCAACCGCAGAGTCGGTCACAGTCACAGGCAACCACAGCGTCAGTCAACCATAGCCACGGTCAACCGCAAAGTCGGTCACAGTCACAGACAACCACAGCGTCAGTCAACCATAGCCACGGTCAACCGCAAAGTCGGTCACAGTCACAGACAACCACAGCGTCAGTCAACCATAGCCACGGTCAACCGCAAAGTCGGTCACAGTCACAGGCAACCACAGCGTCAGTCAACCGCAGAGTCGGTCACAGTCACAGGCAACCACAGCCACAGTCAACCGCAGAGTCGGACACAGTCACAATCAACCACAGCCACAGTCAACCGCAGAGTCGGACACAGTCACAGTCAACCACAGCGTCAGTCAACCACAGCCACGGTCAACCGCAGAGAAGGTCACAGTCACAGGCAACCACAGCCACGGTCAACCGCAGTCAACCGCAGTCGGTCACAGTCAACCACAGCATCAGTCAACCACAGTCGGTCACAGTCACAGTCAACCACAGTCACAGTCAACCGCAGTCGGTCACAGTCAACCACAGCGTCAGTCAACCACAGCCACAGTCAACCGCAGAGTCGGTCACAGTCACAGGCAACCACAGCCACAGTCAACCACAGTCAGTCAACCGCAGTCGGTCACAGTCAACCACAGCCACAGTCAACCGCAGAGTCGGTCACAGTCACAGTCAACCACAGCCACAGTCAACCACAGCCACAGTCAACCGCAGAGTCGGTCACAGTCACAGTCAACCACAAACACAGCCCAGCACAGTCAACCACAAACACAGTTAACCATAGCAACGGTCAACCACAGTCAACCGCAGTCAACCACAGTCACAGTCAAAATCAACCACAGCGTCAGTCAACCATAGCCACGGTCTACCACAGTCAACCACAGTCAACCACAGTCGGTCACAGTCACCGTTAACCACAGCGTCAGTCAACCACAGCCACGGTCAACCACTCAACCGCAGTCGGTCACAGTCACAGTGAACCAGTCAACTACAGCCAAAGTCAACCACAGTCAACCGCAGTCAGTCACAGTCACAGTCAACCACAGTCAACCACAGTCGGTCACAGTCAGTCAACCACAGTCACAATCAAAGTCAGCCACAGCGTCAGTCAACCACAGCCACGGTCAACCACTCAACCGCAGTCGGTCACAGTGAACCAGTCAACTACAGCCAAAGTCAACCACAGTCAACCGCAGTCGGTCACAGTCACAGTCAACCAGTCAGTCAAAGTCAACCACAGCGTCAGTCAACCGTAGCCATGGTCTACCACAGTCAACCACAGTCAACCAGAGTCGGTCACAGTCAGTCAACCACAGCCACAGTCAGCCACAGTCAACCACAGTCAACCGCAGCATCAGTCAACCACAGTCAACCACAGTCACAGTGAACCAGTCAATTACAGCGTCAGTCAACCACAGCCAGTCAACCACAGTCAACCACAAGGTCAACCACAGGGATCTTGTTCCTGAGGTTGCCCATCAGTCAACCAGTAACAGTCAACCACAGCCAGTCAACCACAGTGAACCAGTAACAGTCAACCACAGCCAGTCAACCACAGTGAACCAGTAACAGTCAACCACAGTGAACCAGTAACAGTCAACCACAGTCAGTCAACCACAGTGAACCAGTAACAGTCAACCACAGTCAGTCAACCACAGTGAACCAGTAACAGTCAACCACAGCCAGTCAACCACAGTGAACCAGTAACAGTCAACCACAGTCAGTCAACCACAGTGAACCAGTAACAGTCAACCACAGCCAGTCAACCACAGTGAACCAGTAACAGTCAACCACAGTGAACCAGTAACAGTCAACCACAGTGAACCAGTAACAGTCAACCACAGTCAGTCAACCACAGTGAACCAGTAACAGTCAACCACAGCCAGTCAACCACAGTGAACCAGTAACAGTCAACCACAGTGAACCAGTAACAGTCAACCACAGTGAACCAGTAACAGTCAACCACAGCCAGTCAACCACAGCGAACCAGTAACAGTCAACCACAGTGAACCAGTAACAGTCAACCACAGTGAACCAGTAACAGTCAACCACAGCCAGTCAACCACAGTGAACCAGTAACAGTCAACCACAGCCAGTCAACCTCAGTGGACCAGTAACAGTCAACCACAACCAGTCAACCACAGTGAACCAGTAACAGTCAACCACAGTCAGTCAACCACAGTGAACCAGTAACAGTCAACCACAGCCAGTCAACCACAGTGAACCAGTAACAGTCAACCACAGTGAACCAGTAACAGTCAACCACAGTCAGTCAACCACAGTGAACCAGTAACAGTCAACCACAGCCAGTCAACCAAAGTGAACCAGTAACAGTCAACCACAGTCAACCACAGTGAACCAGTAACAGTCAACCACAGTCAACCAGTAACAGTCAACCACAGTCAACCACAGTGAACCAGTAACAGTCAACCACAGTGAACCAGTAACAGTCAACCACAGCCAGTCAACCACAGCGAACCAGTAACAGTCAACCACAGCCTGTGTGCCTGTGTGTGTGTGTGTGCCTGTGTGTGTGTGTGCCTGTGTGTGCGTGTGCCTGTGTGCGTGTCTGCGTGTGCCTGCGTATGTGTGTGTGTGTGCCTGCGTGTGTGTGTGCGTGTGCCTGTGTGCGTGCCTGCGTGTTTCCTGCGTATGTGTGTGCGTGCCTGTGTGTGCGTGTGCCTGTGTGTGTGTGTGCCTGCGTGTGCGTGCCTGCGTGTGTGCCTGTGTGTGTGTGCCTGTGTGTGTGTCTGTGTGTGTCTGCGTGTGCCTGCGTGTGTGTGCCTGTGTGTGTGTGCCTGTGTGTGTGTGTGCGTGTGCCTGTGTGCGTGCCTGTGTGTGTGTGTGCGTGTGCCTGTGTGTGTGTGTGCGTGTGCCTGTGTGCGTGTGCCTGTGTGCGTGCCTGTGTGTGTGTGTGCGTGTGCCTGTGTGCGCGCCTGTGTGTGTGCGTGCCTGTGTGTGTGTGTGCGTGTGCCTGTGTGTGTGCATGCCTGTGTGTGTGCGTGCCTGTGTTTGTGTGTGTGCGTGTGCCTGTGTGTGTGCATGCCTGTGTGTGTGTGTGCCTGTGTGTGTGTGTGCGTGTGCCTGTGTGTGTGCATGCCTGTGTGTGTGCATGCCTGTGTGTGTGCATGCCTGCGTGTGTGTTACTTTGCGTGCGCCGTGTCCTTCATGGCGGCCTGCAGGGCGCTGGTGAGCTCCTCCTTCTCGCGCTGCAGGCACGACACCTCCTTCTCCAGGCCCTTGATGCCCTCCTGCACAGCGCACAACCACGCAGAGACAATGGTCACCCACGCAGAGACAATGGTCACCCACGCAGAGACACTGGTCACCCACGCAGAGACAATGGTCACCCACGCAGAGACAATGGTCACCCACGCAGAGACAATGGTCACCCACGCAGAGACACTGGTCACCCACGCAGAGACACTGGTCACCCCACGCAGAGACAATGGTCACCCCACGCAGAGACAATGGTCACCCACGCAGAGACAATGGTCACCCACGCAGAGACAATGGTCACCCCACGCAGAGACAATGGTCACCCCACGCAGAGACACTGGTCACCCACGCAGAGACAATGGTCACCCCACGCAGAGACACTGGTCACCCACGCAGAGACAATGGTCACCCACGCAGAGACACTGGTCACCCCACGCAGAGACAATGGTCACCCCACGCAGAGACAATGGTCACCCACGCAGAGACACTGGTCACCCACGCAGAGACAATGGTCACCCACGCAGAGACAATGGTCACCCACGCAGAGACACTGGTCACCCACGCAGAGACACTGGTTACCAACGCAGAGACACTGGTCACCCACGCAGAGACAATGGTCACCCACGCAGAGGCAATGGTCACCCCACGCAGAGACACTGGTCACCCACGCAGAGACACTGGTCACCCACGCAGAGACAATGGTCACCCCACGCAGAGACACTGGTCACCCACGCAGAGACAATGGTCACCCCACGCAGAGACACTGGTCACCCACGCAGAGACAATGGTCACCCCACGCAGAGACAATGGTCACCCACGCAGAGGCAATGGTCACCCACGCAGAGACAATGGTCACCCCACGCAGAGACAATGGTCACCCACGCAGAGACACTGGTCACCCACGCAGAGACAATGGTCACCCACGCAGAGACACTGGTCACCCCACGCAGAGACACTGGTCACCCACGCAGAGACACTGGTCACCCACGCAGAGACAATGGTCACCCACGCAGAGACAATGGTCACCCACGCAGAGACACTGGTCACCCACGCAGAGACACTGGTCACCCACGCAGAGACAATGGTCACCCACGCAGAGACACTGGTCACCCACGCAGAGACACTGGTCACCCCACGCAGAGACAATGGTCACCCCACGCAGAGGCAATGGTCACCCACGCAGAGACAATGGTCACCCACGCAGAGACACTGGTCACCCACGCAGAGACACTGGTCACCCACGCAGAGACAATGGTCACCCCACGCAGAGGCAATGGTCACCCACGCAGAGACACTGGTCACCCCACGCAGAGGCAATGGTCACCCACGCAGAGACACTGGTCACCCACGCAGAGACAATGGTCACCCCACGCAGAGACAATGGTCACCCCACGCCCCCCGTGTAGCCTCAACACGCAGTTGGGGGCAAGTGCTGTTAGTAGCGAGTAGCAGCAGCAGCGACTATGAAGGTAGACACAGACAAAGGCCCCCCGTGAAGCCTCTAGCAGGCTGTAGGGGGCAAGTGCTGTTAGTAGCGAGTAGCAGCAGCAGCGACTATGAAGAGACACAGACAAAGGTCCCCCGTGAAGCCTCAACACATCGTGGGGGCAAGTGCTGTTTGCAGCAGCGTCTACGAAGGTAGACACAGACAAAGGTCCCCCGTGAAGCCTCTAGCAGGCTGTAGGGGCAAGTGCTGTTAGTAGCGAGTAGCAGCAGCAGCGTCTATGAAGGTAGACACAGACAAAGGTCCCCCGTGTAGCCTCTAGCAGGCTGCAGGGGCAAGTGCTGTTAGTAGCAGCAGCGCCTATGACGGTAGACACAGACAAAGGTCCCCCGTGTAGCCTCTAGCAGGCTGTAGGGGCAAGTGCTGTCAGCGGCGAGTAGCAGCAGCGACTATGAAGATAGACACAGACAAAGGTCCCCCGTGTAGCCTCAACACATCGTGGGGGCAAGTGCTGTTAGTAGCGAGCAGCAGCACCAGCGACTATGAAAGCCCGGCACGGCGCTAACGAGGGGGTGGGTTGGCCGGCACCACGCGCCTCGGCCGCCTTTGTCTCCCCAGCGGCGACGTTTCAAACACGCCCACTCCGCCTCCTCCACTGCCTACCGTGTAAGCGGTGCTCAGCTCGTCCATCTTGCCGTCGTTCCGGGACGCGCCCCTCGCCAGCTGCTCCTTCATCTCGAGGGCGTGGTTGAGCTCCAGCAGCTCCCTGGTGAGCTGTGCCTGGCGCAGCGCGTGTCTCGCCGAGAACGACGAGTCGCTCAGACGCTCACCGCCGCCCTCACCGCCACCCTCACCGCCGCCCTCACCGCCACCCTCACCGCCACCCTCACCAGCAACGCACACCTGCAGGGGATCATGGGGCAGGGCGGGGGGGTAGAGACAGAGGCGTGTGTGTAGGACACTACTGGGCAGTGCCAGGCTAGGTGCACCTTGAGGCTACTGAGCAGTGCCAAGCTAGGTAAACCTTGAGGCTACTGGGGGCAGTGCCAGGCTAGGTGCACCTTGAAAGCTACTGGGCAGTGGCAGGCTAGGTGCACCTTGAAAGCTACTGGGCAGTGGCAGGCTAGGTGCTCCTTGAGGCTACCGGGTAGTGCTGGGCTAGGTGCACCTTGAAAGCTACTGGGCAGTGGCAGGCTAGGTGCACCTTGAAGCTACTGGGCAGTGCCAAGCTAGGTAAACCTTGAGGCTACTGGTGAGTGCCAAGCTAGGTGCACCTTGAGGCTACTGGGCAGTGCCAAGCTAGGTGCACCTTGAAAGCTACTGGGGCCAGTGCCAGGCTAGGTAAACCTTGAGGCTACCGGGCAGTGCCGGGCTAGGTGCACCTTGAGGCTACCGGGTAGTGCTGGGCTAGGTGCACCTTGAAAGCTACTGGGCAGTGGCAGGCTAGGTGCACATTGAGGCTACTGGGCAGTGGCAGGCTAGGTGCACCTTGAGGCTACTGGGGCTGTGCCAAGCTAGGTGCACCTTGAGGCTACCGGGCAGTGCCGGGCTAGGTGCACTTTGAGGCTACTGGGTAGTGCTGGGCTAGGTGCACCTTGAGGCTACTGGGTAGTGCTGGGCTAGGTGCACCTTGAGGCTACTGGGCAGTGGCAGGCTAGGTGCACCTTGAGGCTACTTGGCAGTGCCAGGCTAGGTGCACCTTGAGGCTACTGAGCAGTGCCAAGCTAGGTAAACCTTGAGGCTACTGGGGGCAGTGCCAGGCTAGATGCACCTTGAGGCTACTGGGCAGTGCCAGGCTAGGTGCACCTTGAGGCTACCGGGCAGTGGCAGGCTAGGTGCACCTTGAGGCTACTGGGCAGTGCTGGGCTAGGTGCACCTTGAGGCTACTGGGTCAGTGCCAGGCTAGGTGCACCTTGAGGCTACTGGGCAGTGCCAAGCTAGGTGCACTTGAGGCTACTGGGCAGTGCCAGGCTAGGTGCACCTTGAAGCTACTGGGCAGTGCCAAGCTAGGTGCACTTGAGGCTACTGGGCAGTGCTAGGCTAGGTGCACCTTGAGGCTACTGGGCAGTGCCAAGCTAGGTGCACTTGAGGCTACTGGGCAGTGCCGGGCTAGGTGCACCTTGAGGCTACTGGGTAGTGCTGGGCTAGGTGCACCTTGAAAGCTACTGGGCAGTGGCAGGCTAGGTGCACCTTGAGGCTACTGGGCAGTGCCAAGCTAGGTAAACCTTGAGGCTACTGGTGAGTGCCAAGCTAGGTGCACCTTGAGGCTACTGGGCAGTGGCAGGCTAGGTGCACCTTGAGGCTACTGGGCAGTGGCAGGCTAGGTGCACCTTGAGGCTACTGGGCAGTGGCAGGCTAGGTGCACCTTGAAAGCTACTGGGCAGTGGCAGGCTAGGTGCTCCTTGAGGCTACTGGGCAGTTGGAGGCAGTCGTCCCTCTAGCAATAGCGGAGGGCAACAGCCCTCTGGTATTGTAGTGCGTAGAAGTGTAATACAGAGTCGTGTAGTGCATAGTGTAGTGTGTATAGTGCATAGTAGTGCATATTCGTGTAGTGCATATCGGAGTCTTTACACACGCACGTTCGTGAGTTATACGGAATGTGGCCCAAACCCACACCATCCCACCCACCTCAGCTCACCCCGACTCCCTCACCAACCCCCACACCTCACCTCACGCCCACTCACCCCACCGCCACACCTCACCTCAGCTCACCCCGACTCCCCTCAGCCATCCCCCACACCTCACCTCACGCCCACTCACCCCCACACCTCAACTCACCTCCACTCACCAACCCCAACTCACCTCACCCCCACTCACCTCACCTCACCCACCTCACCTCACCTCACCCCCACTCACCTCACCCACCTCACCTCACCCCCACTCACCTCACCTCACCCCCACTGGCCATACCACCCCGACCACCACTCACCTCATCGCCCGGGCTCCCTCCCTCTTTCCCCTCCGCATCCAGGGGGTCGAGACTCGACGTGTCCGTCTGTGACACGCACACGCACACGAGTGTGAACGCACAATCGTGTGAACGCACAATCGCGTGAACGCACAACCGCGCGAACACAACACTCTTGTGGACAGACACAAGCAGCAGAGGGGCGAGGGTAGAAGAGGATGGGCAGCTGGATGGGAGCAGCCCGAGGAAGGAGAGGGAGGAGAGGGAGGAGAGGGAGGAGAGGGAGGAGAGGGAGGAGTGAAGGAGTGAGGGGGAGCAGGGGAAGGAGTGAGGGAAGGAGTGAGAGGAGGGGGGGGAGGGAGGTGAGGGGGGGGGAGGGAGTGAGGTGGTGAGTTAGGGAAGGTTTGAGGGAGAGAGTGAGAGGAGGGAGTGAGAAGAATGAGGCAGGGAGAGGAGGGAGCGAGCGGGGGAGTGAGTGAGGGACAGGAGGGAGGGAAGGGAGTGAGTGAGGCAGTGAGTGAGGGACAGGAGGGAGGGAGGGAGGGAGTGAGTGGGGGAGTGAGTGAGGCAGTGAGTGAGGGACAGGAGGGAGGGAAGGGAGTGAGAGGAGGGAGGAAGGGAGGGAGTGAGTGAGAGAGTGAGGCAGTGAGGCAGTGAGTGAGGGACAGGAGGGAGGGAGTGAGTGAGTGAGGCAGTAAGTGAGGGACAGGAGGGAGGGAGTGAGTGAGAGGAGGGAGTGAGTGAGAGAGTGAGTGAGGCAGTGAGGCAGTGAGTGAGGGACAGGAGGGAGGGGGGAGTGGGGGAGTGAGTGGGAGAGTGAGCGAGGCAGTGAGAGAGTGGGGAAGTGAGTGAGAGAGTGAGGGACAGGAGGGAGGGAGTGAGTGAGAAAGTGGGTGGTGAGTAGGTGAGTGAGTGAGTGGGTGAGTGAGTGAGTGGGTGGGCGAGCGAGTGAGAGGGTGAGAGAGTGGGTGGTGAGTGGGTGGTGAGTGGGTGGGTGAGTGAGTGAGTGAGAGTGAGAGAGTGAGTGAGAGAGTGAGGCAGTGAGTGAGGCAGTGAGTGAGGCAGTGAGTGAGGCAGTGAGTGAGGGCCAGGAGCGAGGGGGGAGGCAGGGCAGTGAGAGGAGGGAGGGAGGAAGGGAGGAGGAGGAGGCGGTACCTCGAGCTCATTGATGAGCTCCTGGAGACTCTGGAGCAGCTCCAGCTGTTGCCTGAGCCCCCCTTCGTCTCCCTGCGAGTCTACAAGGGACATGATGTCCAGCCGACACCTGTGTGGTGGAGGGGAGGGGAACAGCTAGGCGTGTGCCAACACCCCGCGCTCCCAATGCTGAACACTTCACTATCCACAACACGAGTATGTACTACACATCAGATTAAGATACACTCACTACACTATTATACACTACACTAAGATACACTACACTATTATATACTACACTAAGGTACACTACACTAACCACTACACTAAGATACACTACACTAACCACTACACTATTATATACTACACTAAGATACACTACACTAAACCACTACACTATTAAATATTACACTAAGATACACTACACTATTATATACTACACTACAATACACTATCCAATTCACTAATATATACTACACTACAACACACTATCCACTACACTATTATATACTACACTAAGGTACACTACACTATTATATTCTACACTAAGATACACTACACTATCCACTACACTATTATATATTACAACAAGATACACTACACTATCCACTACACTATTATATACTACACTAAGATACGCTATCCACTACACCATTAAATACTACACTAAGATACACTGCACTATGATCCACGACGCTAGAATACACTATCCACTACACTATTATATACTACACTAAGATACACTGCACTAACCACTACACTATTATATATTACACTAAGATACACTACACTAACCACTACACTATTATATATTACACTAAGGTACACTACACTAACCACTACACTATGATCCACTACGCTACAATGCACTAACCACTACACTATTATATATTACACTAAGATACACTACACTAACCACTACACTATTATACACTACACTAAGATACACTACACTAAACCACTACACTATTATATACTACACTAAGATACACTACACTAACCACTACACTATTATACACTACACTAAGATACACTATTATACACTACACTAACCACTACACTATTATACACTACACTAAGATACACTACACTAACCACTACACTATTATATACTACACTAAGATACACTACACTAACCACTACACTATTATACACTACACTAAGATACACTACACTATCCACTACACTATTATATATTACACTATACACTACACTATGATCCACTATGCTACAATACACTATCCACTACACTATTATATACTACACTAAGATACACTACACTAACCACTACACTATTATATACTACACTACGCTACAATACACTAACTACTACACTATTATACACTACACTAAGATACACTACACTAACCACTACACTATTATACACTACACTAAGATACACTACACTATCCACTACACTATTATACACTACACTAACCACTACACTATTATACACTACACTAAGATACACTACACTAACCACTACACTATTATACACTACACTATACACTACACTATTATACACTACACTAAGATACACTACACTAACCACTACACTATTATACACTACACTAAGATACACTACACTAACCACTACACTATTATACACTACACTATCCACTACACTATTATACACTACACTAAGATACACTACACTAACCACTACACTAAGATACACTACACTAACCACTACACTATTATACACTACACTAAGATACACTACACTAAGATACACTACACTAACCACTACACTAACCACTACACTATTATACACTACACTATTATACACTACACTATTATACACTACACTATTATACACTACACTAACCACTACACTATTATACACTACACTATTATACACTACACTATTATACACTACACTAAGATACACTACACTATCATACACTACACTACCCACTACACTATTGTTACACGACACGATTGTGCACCACGATACACGACACCGCCACACACCGCCGAGACTCAGCACTGCCCGGAGACTCAACACGTCGATACGCAGCGACGTGTTGAGTTGGTGCAGGGACCTGGCCATAGTTCACGCGCGGGCTGCCCGCAGAACGGCCGACTCACGCTTTGTGATCCTTCAGCTCGGCGAAGCGCGTCAATAACTTCTCACGCTCCATCTCCGTCTGCACACGGTCGCGTGAGAACCCAACCCAGGCACGCACCCGAGCCTTCAGCCTTCGAGCGGAGCGTTGGGGCAAGTGGAGTCGAGCGAGCAGCACACGAGCTCACCCTCGCACACACACGCTCGCTCGCTCACTGTCTCACACACACACACGCTAACACGAGCTCACCCTCACACACACACACACGCTCACCCTCACACACACCCTCACTGTCTCACACACACACACGCTCACACGCTCACCCTCACACACACCCTCACTGTCTCACACACACACACACGCTCACCCTCACACACACAACAACAACAACAACAACCGCCATTCGCCACTAAGTGGCGGTGACGTCACCACGACGCTTGTGCCAGGCTATGTGCACCCTGAGGCCACGTGAAGTGTCGAACGCCCGCTGGCAGGAGGTCACGGGGCAGACCCAGGTGCCACGGGTCGACTGACTGAGATGACTGGCTGATGCACCACCTGTGCCCCCTACTGTGCCAACCTGCTGTGCTTTAGCCACCCGGCGCTCCGCTCGCTGTTGTGAGCGTCGCTCCTCCGCCCTCCGTTGTTGTTGGAGGGCGACTGCCTCCAACTGCCCAGTAGCATCCTTCACGAGCCTCCTCCACAGAGGCCGATCTTGACACCGCTGGTACCAGTCATCGGCAAGTCCACTCAGCTCCACGTCCTCCTGTACCACATCACTCCATCTCTTCTCTAGCCCGTGCCGCGCCCGCTTAGCCCCCTCAATCCGGCCAAACAAAAGCTGTTTCGGCATGCGGTGGCTGGTCATGCGGGCTACATGACCCAGCCATCGCAGCCTTGCCTGCCGGAGGAGCTCACCGATGGGACCCTGCCCAGATCTTTCAAGGATTTGTGAGCTCCTCACACAATCCAGTCTGGTTAAACCCAGGATGGATCGTAGGCAGGTCAGCCTAAATGTTTCTAACCGGCGAAGATGTTCCATTAGGGGGGTCCACGTTTCGCAAGCGTAGAGAAGGGAGGGAATGACCGTGGCCGAGAAGACCTGAAGCTTAGTGCGGAGCGACAGACCAGGTAGCTTCCACACAGCGTTACGCAACCGATGAAAAGATATTGCCGCTCGACTGATTCGGAGTGAGACCTCTGCTGTTAAACTGGAGCCAGTCATAAGCACACTGCCCAGGTATGGGAAACTCTCCACTCTCTCCACAACTGCCCCATCACCGATTGGGAGTTGTGGGGGTGGAGTGTCCGATGGTACAAAATACCCAGGCAGGTGCTTAGTTTTGGTGGGGCTGATGGTAAGGCCCCACCTCTTAGTGGCACGCTCCAGTCTCAGCAGCAGCGTCTGAACTCCTCCTCTGACTGAGCAGCTATTACCAAGTCATCAGCATACATAACGTGGTTGAGCAATAGGGAGCCATCCCTTGACCGCACCCGGGCATCGATTAGCCTCCCATTATATCTGTACCATATGGAGATTCCCCCGGTACAGCTATTGAAGGCTTCACGAACTACGTGGTCAAAATAGATGTTAAATAATGTGGGAGCCAGAGGACATCCCTGTCGCACCCCAAGGTGTACAGGGAATGGCTCTGACTCCCGGCCACGTAGTTTTACCCGGGCCCGCTCACCATCATGAAGGTCCTTAATGATCGTGAGCAGAGGGTCAGGTACTCCAAAAGCACGAAGAACGACCCAGAGCCCAGGCCTACTGATGGTATCATAGGCCTTGACCAGGTCAATAAAGCAGAGATGTAGGTCTTGTTGGAATTCCCTACACCTCTGCTGTAGCAGACGGACAGAAAATATGGCATCTGTGCAGGACCGCCCTTTCCTGAAACCGCATTGGGGCTCCGCAAGCCTCTCCTCAGCGTGCCTGGCAAGGCGATGCTGAATAATCCTTGCCAGGACCTTTCCCGGCACACTGAGGAGTGAGATGCCCCTGTAGTTGTTACAGTCTGTGCGGTCCCCCTTCTTAAAAAGGGGGACCACCAGGGCATCCTTCCAATCCTGCGGAACCCGTCCAGTGGTCCAGACTGTTGTTATGATGTCATATAGGGCAGTCTGTGCACAAACGCCACCCTCCCTCAGCATTTCGCTTGGGAGATCATCTCTGCCCGCTGCCTTTCCTGGTCTCAGACTCCGGATCGCCTTCAATACTTCCTCAGCAGATGGCACCTCAGCCAGCCACTCACAGGGGGTGACTTCATCCAATATTTGAGGCACCGCAGCCTCAGCAGGGTCATCCTCACTTTGTGCCACGATGTTTTCCTGGCTGTGGGATTTTCCCTCCCCCAGGACCTCACAGAAATGCTCAGCAAATCTGCGAACCTGTTCCTGGGGGTCGGAAATTGGATCACCGTTTTTTCCCCTAATGATGGTAATAGGTGTGGCGCTGCAGGTTACTTTTTAGATGGAGTTAAATAGCGATTTGTGATCACGGGCCACTGAGGCAGACTCCATCTCCTCAGCAACCCGCGACCACCACCCATCCTTGCAGCGCCTCACGGCTCTCCGAACCTCCGAGCGAAGGCTGCGGTAAGCCTCCTCATTCTCTGACGTGGGATTCTGTAGCCGATGACAGTGGGCCTGTCGCTTTTTCTCAACCATCCTGAACAACTCCTCTGTCATCCAGGGTGTCTGGGGAGGTCTGGACCGCGTACCCAAAGCAGCCATTGCAGCTGCATGAGTCACAGTCCTAAACCTCGCCCATTTACCCTCGACATCAGGAGGAGTCGGGGACGATGCCAATCCCAGCCGCAAGCGATGATGAAATTCTCGCTTGCAACTTTCATCAGATAACTGAGACCAGGCCACTTTAGGTTGGAATGTGGTCCTGGGTGTACACCCACCACCGGAGTGGAAGAATGGCAGGCGCATCTTACAGATGACTAGTCGATGGTCAGAGGGCAGATCAGCTCCACGGTAGGTCCTGGTGTCAAGGACATGGGCTCGCATTCGCTGGTCCGTCACTATGTAGTCCAGCAGATGTTCTTGCTCACACACACCCTCACTGTCACACACACACTGTCACACACACGCTCACCCTCACACACCCACCTTCACACATACACGCGCTCACCCTCACACACACACACGCCCTCACACACACACACACACGCTCACCCTCACACACACAGGCGTTCACCCTCACTCTCTCTCACACGCTCAGTCACACACACACACTCTCACACACACGCTCACCCTCACGCTCACCCTCACGGTCACAGACACACTCACCCTCTCTCTTTCGCTCACCCTCAAAACACTCACCCCCTCAATTTATCTCTCACTTTCTCTCTCACACGCTCACCCTCTCTCTCACTCACCCTCTCTCTCTCATACATGCTCACCCTCACACACACTCACCAAGATGACCTTCCCACACTCTCACCCACTCACCAATGCCACTCGCCAGCATGACCTCACACTCACCCACTCACCACCACCACCACCCACCAGGATGACCTTCTCACAAACTCACCACTCACCCGCTCACCACCACCTACCAGGATGACCTCACTCTGACCCACTCACCACCGCTGCCACTCACCAGGATGACCTTCTCACCCACTCACCACTAACCACCACTCACCAGGATGACCTTTTCACCCACTCACCACTCACACGCTCACCACCACCGCCACTCACCAGGATGATCTCACTCTCACCCACTCACCACCACTGCCACTCACCAGGATGACCTTCTCACCCACTCACCAGGATGACCTCACTCTGATCCACTCACCACACTCGCACGCCCACCACCACTCACCAGGATGGCCTTCTCACTCTCACTCACTCACCACCGCTGCCACTCACCAGGATGACCTCATACTCACTCACCCACTCACCACCACAACTCACCAGGATGACCTCACTCTGATCCACTCGCCACACTCGCACGCTCACCACCACTCACCAGGATGACCTTCTGACACTCACCACTCACCACTCACCAGGATGACCTCACTCGGACCCACTCACCACTCACCAGGATGACCTCACTCGGACCCACTCACCATCACCGCCACTCACCAGGATGACCTCACGCTCACCCACTCACCACCTCCACTCACCAGGATGACCTCACTCGGACCCACTCACCACCACTCACCAGGATGACCTTCTCACCCACTCACCACCTCCACTCACCACTCACCAGGATGACCTCACTCTGACCCACACACCCACTCACACGCTCACCACCACCACCACTCACCAGGAAGACCTTCTCACACACTCACCACCACTCACCAGGATGACCCACTCACCACTTACCACCGCCGCCACTCACCAGGATGACCTTCTCACCCACTCACACGCTCACCACCACCGCCAGTCACCAGCATGACCTCATACTCACTCACCCATTCACCACCACCACCACTCACCAGGATGACCTAACTCTCACCCACTCACCACTAACATGCTCACCACCGCCGCCACTCACCAGGATGACCTCACTCTCACCCACTCACCACCACTCACCAGGATGACCTCACTCTGACCCACTCACCGCCACCACCACTCACCAGGATGACCTCACTCTGACCCACTCACCACTCACCGCCACCACCACTCACCAGGATGACCTCACTCTCACCCACTCACCAGGATGACCTTCTCACCCACTCACCACCACCACTCACCAGGATGACCTCACTCTCACCCACTCACACGCTCACCGCCGCCGCCACTCACCAGGATGACCTTCTCACACACTCACCACTCACCAGGATGACCTTCTCACCCACTCACCACTCACCAGGATGACCTTCTCACACACTCACCACTCACCAGGATGACCTTCTCACCCACTCACCACTCACCAGGATGACCTTCTCACCCACTCACCACTCACCAGGATGACCTTCTCACACTCTCACCACTCACCAGGATGACCCTCTCACCCACTCACCCACTCACCACTCACCGCCACCACCACCACCACCACCACTCACCAGGATGACCTTCTCACCCACTCACCACCACTCACCAGGATGACCTTCTCACCCACTCACCCACTCACCAGGATGACCTTCTCACCCACTCACCACCACACACCAGGATGACCTCACTCTGACCCACTCACCACCGCCACCACTCACCAGGATGACCTTCTCACACAGGTGCGCCGTGTGATCCACGGCCACCTGTAGCTCCTTGGTCAGCTGCTGATTGGCCTCGTGCAGGCTGCGGTTGCGCTCCAGCACCGACTGCACGCTGGTGGACTGCCCCTCGCTGCCGCTGGCACCGCCACGGGGGAGGGGTGGGGTACGGTGAGAACAATCTTTATTATTCATACCGCAGGAGCTCTTCGTCAAAGATGTCCGGTAGAGAGATACATAGAGACCCATAGGGATACATAGAGACACACAGAGACACGCAGAGACCCATAGATACACAGAGACACAGACCCATAGAGACACACAGAGACCCATAGATACACACAGAGACCCATAGAGACACAGACACAGAGACACACAGAGACCCATAAAGACCCATAGAGATACATAGAGACCCACAGAGATACATAGAGACACACAGGGACCCATAAAGACCCATAGAGATACATAGAGACCCATAGAGACCCATACACACACAGAGACCCATAGAGATACATAGAGACCCATAAAGACACACAGAGACCCATAGAGATACATAGACACCCATAGAGACCCATAGAGATACATAGAGACACACAGGGACCCATAAAGACCCATAGAGACACATAGAGACCCAATAGGGATACATAGACACACAGAGACATCACAGAGACCCATAGAGACACAGACACATAGAGACACAGAGTCCCATAGAGATACATAGAGACACACAGAGACCAATAAATACCCATAGAGATGCATAGCAACACAAAGAGACCCGTAGAGATGCACACAGACAATCACCACTGGTGGCGGCGGTGGTGGTGGTGGCCGTGAGCGGTAAATAGAACTCGCTAACCACTCCCCCACCGCTCCTCCCCCTCCACCACCACCACCACCGCCACCACCGCCACCACCACCACCCAACGTGGTGAACGGCGGCTCTGGATCCAGTTGTCTCTGCGTAAGCGAGCGAGCGTGCATGGGGGAGGGTGGGGTTGGGTGGTGCGCGCGAGAGACCCACCCCTGCATCGTGGCGATCCCTCCGCCCCGTGCCTGCAACAGCTGCACCTGCAGCTGTTGCACCTGCAACAGAGAAACGCAAAACTCTCGGTCGGCAACAACGACGACAACAACAACAACTTTGATTGAAAGCTTTCGTGACTGCAGTAATTCATATTCTTAGTTTTTTCGGTAAAGTCACCACGTTGAAGGGAAACAACAAAATAATAAAATATATATAAAACAATAAAAAAAAATTCTCACGACGTTTCGACCATTACTCAAACGGTCGTCTTCAGGTGTGTTGGTTCGCATAAATTAATTTTTAAACGGCGCATTTATTTATTTATAAAAATAAATTTATGCGAACCAACACACCTGAAGACGACCGTTTGAGTTATGGTCAAAACGTCGTGAGAATTTTTTATTGTTTAATATATATTTAGTTATTATTTTGTTGTTTCTCTTCAACGTGGTGACTTTACCGAAAAAACTAAGCATATAACAACAACAACGTTCACAAATCTGGCCGTCGCCTGACGAAGCCGGTTGCAATCAGCGGCGAAACGTCACGGTACTCAGATTGTAAATGTTGTGGCTCGCTTCTCCAACACACAACCGGTGTAGTGCTGTACTAGTATACTACACTATACACTACATCATACACTACATTAAACACTACACTACACACTAGTGCTGTACTAGTATACTACATTATACACTACATTATACACTACAATAAACACTACACTATACACTACACTATACACTAGTGCTGCACTAGTATACTACACTATATACTACACTATACACTAGTGCTATACTAAACTACACTATACACTACACGATACACTAGTGCTGTACTATACTACACTATACACTACACGATACACTAGTGCTATACTATACTACACTATACACTAGACTATACACTAGTGCTGTACTAGTACACTACACTATACACTACACACTGGTGCTGTACTAGTATACTACACTATACACGACACTATACACTACATTATACACTACACACTAGTGCTGTACTAGTATACTACACTATACACTACACACTAGTGTTGTACTAGTATACTACACGATACACTACACTGTACACTAGTGCTGTACTATACTACACTATACACTACACGATACACTAGTGCTGTACTATACTACACTATACACTACACTATACACTAGTGCTGTACTAGTACACTACACTATACACTAGTGCTGTACTAGTACACTACACTATACACTAGTGCTGTACTAGTATACTACACTATAAACTACACTATAACACTACACTATACACTAGTGCTGTACTAGTATACTACAATATACACTAGTGCTGTACTAGTACACTACACTATACACTACACTACACACTGGTGCTGTACCAGTAACGAATTGGCACGTCCTGTTTACGTGACAAACCTCACCAATTGGCTGTGTCGGGTAGTGGTGGCGGGTTTAACGACACAACGTTTATATTTACACAATAAAATCCGACAAAAACCTCTACTTTGGGTATGTTTTTTGAGGTGTTGTGAGATTGCTCTTCTGCCGCGAGAAATTGCCCTAACTGAACGTGAAATTGACCCAACTTACTGAACGTACAAATAGACGAACACCAATTTCATATTGTAAAAAAAAAAAACAGAAGTGAGAGTATAAATGTACCGCATGCCGCACTCACAACCCCAATCTCGAAGACTCTGCATCAGGGGGCAGGGTGGGGTGGTGACGTACGTACACGCGCTACGGCCTCTCGTTTCAACGACCGTGTGATTTGTGACGATCGCCCCACCGGAACCTGATGCAGCCTTCAGCTCGGGTTCGCCCCGGCGAACAGCCGAATTACGCACGGCACCTTTCACTATACACTACACTATACACTAGTGCTGTACTAGTACACTACACTATACACTACACTATACACTAGTGTTGTACTATACTACACTATACACTAGTGCTGTACTAGTACACTACACTATACACTACACTATACACTAGTGTTGTACTATACTACACTATACACTAGTGCTGTACTAGTACACTACACTATACACTACACTATACACTAGTGTTGTACTATACTACACTATACACTAGTGCTGTACTTGTACACTACACTATACACTAGTGCTGTACTAGTACACTACACTATACACTACACTATACACTAGTGCTGTACTAGTACACTACACTATACACTAGTGATGTACTAGTACACTACACTATACACTAGTGATGTACTAGTACACTACACTATACACTAGTGATGTACTAGTACACTACACTATACACTAGTGCTGTACTAGTACACTACACTATACTATACACTACACTATACACTAGTGATGTACTAGTACACTACACTATACACTACACTATACACTAGTGCTGTACTAGTACACTACACTATACACTACACTGGTGCTGTACTAGTATACTACACTATACACTACACTATACATTAGTGCTGTACTAGTACACTACACTATACACTAGTGTTGTACTATACTACACTATACACTAGTGCTGTACTAGTACACTACACTATACACTAGTGATGTACTAGTACACTACACTATACACTAGTGCTGTACTAGTACACTACACTATACACTACACTAGTGTTGTACTATACTACACTATACACTAGTGCTGTACTAGTACACTACACTACACACTGGTGCTGTACTAGTACACTACACTATACACTACACTATACACTAGTGCTGTACTAGTACACTACACTATACACTACATTACACACTGGTGCTGTACTAGTATACTACACTATACACTACACTATACACTACATTACACACTGGTGCTGTACTAGTATACTACACTATACACTACATTACACACTGGTGCTGTACTGGTATACTACACTATACACTACACTATACACTACATTACACTGGTGCTGTACTAGTATACTACACTATACACTACACTATACACTACACTATACACTAGTGTTGTACTATACTACACTATACACTAGTGCTGTACTAGTACACTACACTATACACTACATTACACACTGGTGCTGTACTAGTATACTACACTATACACTACACTATACACTAGTGCTGTACTAGTACACTACACTATACACTACATTACACACTGGTGCTGTACTAGTATACTACACTATACACTACATTACACACTGGTGCTGTACTAGTATACTACACTATACACTACACTATACACTACACTACACACTGGTGCTGTACTAGTATACTACACTATACACTACACTATACTATACACTAGTGCTGTACTAGTACACTACACTATACTATACACTAGTGCTGTACTAGTACACTACACTATACACTACACTACACACTGGTGCTGTACTAGTACACTACACTATACACTACATTACACACTGGTGCTGTACTAGTATACTACACTATACACTACATTACACACTGGTGCTGTACTAGTACACTACACTATACACTACATTACACACTGGTGCTGTACTAGTACACTACACTATACACTACATTACACACTGGTGCTGTACTAGTACACTACACTATACACTACACTATACACTAGTGTTGTACTATACTACACTATACACTAGTGCTGTACTAGTACACTACACTATACACTACACTATACACTAGTGCTGTACTAGTACACTACACTATACACTACACTATACACTAGTGCTGTACTAGTACACTACACTATACACTACACTATAAACTCGTGCTGTCCTAGTACACTACACTATACACTACATTACACACTGGTGCTGTACTAGTACACTACACTATACACTACACTACACACTGGTGCTGTACTAGTATACTACACTATACACACTATACTATACACTAGTGCTGTACTAGTACACTACACTATACTATACACTAGTGCTGTACTAGTACACTACACTATACACTGGTGCTGTACTAGTACACTACACTATACACTACATTACACACTGGTGCTGTACTAGTATACTACACTATACACTACATTACACACTGGTGCTCTACTAGTATACTATACTATACACTACACTATACACAAGTGCTGTACTAGTATACTACACTATACACTAGTGCTGTACTAGTACAGTACACTATACACTACACTACACACTGGTGCTGTACTAGTACACTACACTATACACTACACTATACACTAGTGCTGTACTAGTACACTACACTATACACTACATTACACACTGGTGCTGTACTAGTATACTACACTATACACTACACTATACACTACATTACACACTGGTGCTGTACTAGTACACTACACTATACACTACACTATACACTACATTACACACTGGTGCTGTACTAGTATACTACACTATACACTACACTATACACTACATTACACACTGGTGCTGTACTAGTATACTACACTATACACTACACTATACACTACACTATACACTAGTGCTGTACTAGTACACTACACTATACACTACACTATACACTACACTGTACACTACATTACACACTGGTGCTGTACTAGTATACTACACTATATACTACACTATACACTATGCAGCCTTCAGCTCGGGTTCGCCTCCGGCGAACAGCCGAATTGTGCACGCCACCTTTCGCGCCCCCCGGATCGCACCGCGTGAATTTTTCATCTTTTGACTTCCCGGGTCGTTCAACGCGCACGCACGGTATTCTCATCGAGCTTATCGCGACGTCGTGTACGACGTAGCGTACGTAAGGGGAAGGGGCCGGCCGGAATCTCTGTCTGCGTCTCTGGTGTCGGGAGGTAACCCCCCGCCCGCCCCCAACCTGTTTCCGCAGCATCTGCAGCTCGGCCGTGCTGGGGTCCCGGTTCACCACCGGCTTGTTCTTTATCTTGCGCGCGCGGTCAGCGTAACGCAACGTGTTCAGCGTCTCCTCCAGGTTGGAGTCGGCCGGGCTCACACAGGCCACCATGAGGGTGAGGCTGTTCCCTCCCAGAGAGTCTGGGGAGAGAGCGAGAGACAAGGATGGAGAGAGACGGAGAGAGAGACAGACACAGGCCACCATTAGGGTGAAGCTGTTCCCTCCCAGAGTCTGGAGAGATACGGGGATGGAGAGAGGCAGAGAGACACACAGGTCACCATGAGGGTGAGGCTGTTCCCTCCCAGAGAGTCTGGAGAGAGACAGGGATGGAGAGAGACGGGGAGAGAGACGGGGAGAGACACACACACAGGTCACCATGAGGGTGATGCTGTTCCCTCCCAGAGAATCTGGAGAGACACGGGGATGGAGAGAGACGGGGAGAGAGACGGGGAGAGACACACACGCAGGTCACCATGAGGGTGAGGCTGTTTCCCTCCCAGAGAGTC